ATGCAGCTAGGCCGAAACCCACACTATATAATCCCGAAGAAACGAGAAGATAATAACCCAAGGATAGCAGTAGTACATCCCAACTACGAAGAAATTTTATAGGCATCATGCGTCGTCCACACATGCCAAATACACGAGAAAGATAAAATCTATTAAAACTATTACCCCGTGTAAATAAATAATATACCCATGTAGAACCCATACTTAAGGGAGAAACTTAAGTATTTCCATATTACTCGATGGTATACAGGAGTCGGCGTTGCATGCTTGGAGGATAGAGGGACCTCTTCCCACCAGAATATACCAACCCAACCAGCACTATTGACGACTGCAAAACAGAAGAATGCCGCGCACACGAACAACAAAAGATAAGGGAATGGCATGAATGCAAAAACAAAGACATCACCAAGTACATCGCCACGAGAGCACTACAATATAACAAACCAGACTGCAAGGAACATAGCTGGGAAAACCAAGATAAGTTCCAACGCATCAAGTTCTTAATACACCGGAAATACAACTTCTCTAACCATAGAGGAACGAGCAGTCTCGATCGAGCCTAGAAGAGCAAAATGGAAGACTGGGAATGTAGAGGGATGACCCCGAAATGCAACAACGAAGAAACCGTCTAGAACACCCAACCTTGCTCGGCATGAAACGCAATGACCTGCGACAAGCCCAGATGCCCCAAGCACGGCATAGAGGCGCAAGAAATCAATGCATGCATCAGACGAATACACGACAAAGGGTTCGACTTTCCAACTCGAACCGGATCAAACCAAACAGACTAGGCCTGGTACCGACAAATCAGGAATGGCTGTAATAAATACTCTGAGGTAGAATATTCTACGGATAATTACTACGCAAAAAACAACACACGCTACCTATAGAAGAGCGACAGGCAAGCAATACACATAAGGAAGAACCACCCCCGACAAAAGCTCTATGCGTAACGAAATTAGCAAAGTAAAGAAAGATACTTAAGCTGCAAGTGCAAGTTAAGGGTGTATGGCTCACCGCGTTGGTGGACAGCAGAGCCGAAGCTGTGTACATAGACCCATCAGTGGTCAATAGGCTGAAGCTACCATGGAAGAACAAAGCAAACCCTTATACGGTATACAATCTCGAAGGCGATAACTTCAAGTACGACAATAGATAGATAACTTAATAGGTTGATCACCTGAAGATATTTATTGACAGACGGAATCAAGGAGTCACCCTTGACATCATACCGATAAAGCACCACGATATTGTTCTGGGGTACCCATAGCTAATGAAATACAACCTATAATTCAACTGGAGAACTGGCTAGATATTTATCGATTATGATGATGTGCTTTTTAGTGAAGATGAAAGCGACTTAGAGGACGAGAGATCTCCAATCCTAACTCCTGAAGATAGCAAGAGCAAGGATCAGCATAAGAATACGACAGATACCTCATTACCCCCCAAGGGAACACGACATAAATACCAGAAAGGAAAGAAAATGCAGCTCTAAAGAACAATTAGATGTATTTAATAACAGTTTATATAGATAAATAGGGATCTCGAGGAATACAAGAAAATGCCCAAAGAAGACTGACTTAGGAATATACCAGTACAATACTAAATCTACGAAAAACTCTTTATAGAAGAACTTAAAATAGAACTACTAGAATTCAGTAAATAAGATTACAAGATTTTACTAAAAGATAGAATAACACCTACATTCCACAAATTATTCAACCTTAACAAAATACAACTTAAAATACTTAGAGAATATATCAAAGATATACAATAGAAAGGATATATTAGGATTTCCAAGTCATCAGCTGGATATCCAGTTATATTTATTCCCAAAAAAAACAGCAAACTCCGACTTATTGTAGACTACCGATGATTAAATGATATTACGCTTAAAGACCGAACCCCGTTACCTCTTATTACGAAGCTTAAGAACCGACTCTATAGTAAGAAGGTGTTTATAGTACTAGATCTAAAGGGAGCGTACAATTTCATCTACATCAAAGAAGGATATAAATAGAAAACTACCTTTTAAACCAAGTTCGGACTTTATGAATATCTTGTTATGCTCTTTGGACTTATAAATGTATTAGCTACATTCCAATGAATAATTAACAATATACTACATAAGCATCTGGATATATTTGTTATATGCTACCTAGACGATATCCTAATCTTCTCCAACTTAAAAGAAGAATACATAGAATATATCCACAAGATATTACAAGTACTTTAAGATGTAAAACTACTAGTTAAACTAGAGAAAAGCAACTTCTATATATTAAAAGTAGAGTTTCTTAGATATATCATCTCATACAACAAGATCGGGATGGATCCAAAGAAAATCGCTGTAGTTAGTAAATAGCTGAGACTAAAAAATATCAAGGAAGTACAATCCTTCCTCGGGTTCGCCAACTACTACTGAAGATTTATTAAGAACTTTAGTAGCCACACTATACTACTTACAGAACTCACTAAGAAAGAAGTAGACTTTTGATGGGATACTGCTGTAGAAAAAGCATTCAACACCATCAAGAATATCATCTTGAGCGAACCAGTGCTAGCAATCTTTAACCCAGAACGAGAAATTAAACTCGAGACGGACTCATTGGACTTCGCATAAGGCGCTTAGATTGGTTAAAGAGATAATAACAGACTGTTATATTCTATTGCTTTTTTCTCTTATAAAATGCACGGCGCTAAACTCAACTACCCCATTTACGATAAAGAATTCCTTGCAATCGTCAACTCATTCAAGGAATTTCGACACTACCTCCTAGAAAGCAAATACAAGATCAAGGTCTATACAGACTACAAGAATATCTTGCACTTTGTAACTACATAAGAACTTAGCGGACGACAACTACAATATGCCAAATATCTATTAGAATTCGACTATGTAATCATCTACAGGAAAGAATCAGAAAATAGACGAGCCGACGCTATCAGTCGACAAGCTAATTTCGATACAAGCAAGCCCAAGATAAATGAATAAATCCTCAACTTTAATGCCGAAGGACACCTTAAGTAGAAGTACATCGCAAGCATATAAAAGACACAACCCCAATCCAAATACCTAAACAGGATATACAAGATAAGCACAACCCGAGACTTCATAGAATGGATTCCAGAGCAGGACAAGGATATTAGGTACAAGGACGGGCATATCGCCATCCCCTACCCATACCAACACGAGATTGTGCAGGATCTGCACAAGGAAGGCCCTTACGATGGAAGTATCGATACATTATGACAACTTGTCAGCGAAGTATACAACACTCGCGGCTTCTAGAACGCACTCCAGTATGCAATCGACAATTACCTGGAATGCTCAGGAAACAAGAAAACCCTAGGAAATACCTACATCGTTACAAACACCAACAAACTCCAAGACAAGATACAATAATATAACAACAAGCTACCCCCAGACGAAAAAACAGACAAGCTACAAGTTCCTAGAGAATTGCAGCACCAACTTATGCGGGAAATACACAAACTTCCGCCACATAGACATCAGGGAGTCAATAAAACCCTTAATAGAGTCAGAATAATATACTAATTCCCTAAGATAAAGGCAGTAGTAAGAGAAATTACTAAGTAATATCTATTATGCAAAAAAACTAAGGCTTAATGCCACAAACTATATAGAGAATTACAACCCCTACTAGTCGCTAAGTAACTATAAGATTCTATCACTATAGATTTCATTACAAAACTACCCCTATTAGAAGACCCCGCAACTGGAGTCATATATAACAGCATTCTTATCATCATAAATAGACTTATGAAATTTTCCTATTTCATATCCTACTAGGAATCAATAGATATAGAGCAGTTTACCTATATCTTCTTGCAAAATATTATTAGCATTTACGGACTTTTAATAGAGATTCTCTCCAACTGAGGATAGCTATTTGCTTTAAAGTTTTAGTAAAGCTTAATAGACTATATAGGACTAAACTACTGACTTATTATAGCATTCCGAGTATAAGTTAATGAATAGACGGAATAAATAAATTAAATACTAGAACAATATCTTCGGTGCTATATTAACTACAAATAGAACAACTAGATTAAGAAGCTCCCGACTGCATAGCTAAGCTACAATACATTAATATACAAAAGCACAAAACTCACTCTAGTATATACTAACTTTAGATTCACCCCTAACGCCTACTAAATAAGCCGAGATGGATTAATCATCCCCAAAGCTATCCTTACAATAGAAAAATTAAAAAACCTATACAAAGAAATAAAGACTAAACTTGAATTTATTAGAAATTAGATAAAAAAATACTACGATTAAAAAAGAATAAAGGAATTATTCTTCTAGGAGGGAGATATAATCCTTCTTGTAACAAAAAACATTAAAATAAAACAACAAAATAAAAAACTAGACTATAAATATATCGGACCCTATAAAATTCTCGAAAAAATCTTAGAAAACAACTACTATTTAGACTTACTACTAAAAGTCAGACTTCACCCTATCTTCTATATCTCACTTCTTAAGAGCATGGAAGGAAATATCATAGCCAAATTTAGCAATAAACATAAAATAGAGGTTGAAGGCCTAGAGGAATACAAAATTAAAGAAATTCTCAAGCAACAAAGAATCAACAACCAGACTGAATACCTCATTAAGTGGAAAAACTACCCTGAGAGTAATAACCAATAGAAACCAGCAAAAAACATCACCCATACGCAACGCCTCCTAAAGGATTTTCACCAACACCAGAGGAAGAAGGCAAAGAAGGATCAAGCAGAAAATCAGCGCTTGTAAAACAATCGCCGAGACCAAGAGACAGCCAGTTAATAACATCGGCGTATACCAACAACCAAAGGTCGATAGTAGCCTCCAACTCCGCCTGCTCCAAAGCCTCCAACTCCTTCAAAGACTCCAAGCCACAACAAGTCATCTCATGCCCCCGGGTAACCAAAGACTAACGCTAGCGGCGAGTGCGCTCCAGAAGGTCCAGAGATTGGTCAAACTCGGCCTAAGCGGCCCGAAGGGCGGCCCGCTTCTTAAGGAACTCCTCCTCCAACTCCAACTCCTTGTCACCAAGGCGCCTCGCCTCGGAGATGACTCGAGTCACTACCCTCATTTTAGCAAGGAAAACGACAAGACCAGACTTAGACTTACGCGAGTGAAGAGGAATACCGGTCCCATCGCAAGGACGACCCTTATCAGTACAAAAACCACATTTCTTAGAACCGTTATCCAGCATCTTACACACGCGCCCGTGGGCGATGCAGCGAGAATACGGCATTACCTCAAAACCAAACTCCTTAATAGCAGCAGCAAGAACTAGCGAGTTCGCAGTAGAAACCGGAACCTCAAATCCTTCCGCAGAAACAGCTGAGATCAGTTTGCTTGCTGTGGACTTAAGGATATCGCGGGATTTCAAGGGACGCTTCGAGATTCGACTGGACATCCTATTAGCACATCGGAATAATTAAGGAAGCAAGTTAGAAACATACCAACACACATACAAGAGACAGTCTTAAACATAGCCATAGGACATAACTAACGGGAGGGGAGATATTGTATCACGGCCCAGGTTGGGACCAGGCAGTCATAACTGGCAGAACTATAACATACCCACTTTTTCACCTGATACAAATCCTAAACTTACCCTGTATAAGTAAGCCGGGACGTCCGACTTACTTCTCCAGGATAAGCTATAAGATTAGACTTACTCTTATTTAGTAAGCCTGTATAAGTACTACTAGTATATAGATATTTATTTAGTATTTTTATAGATAGATAGCCTTACTAGCTATTAATATACTTAATTATATTAAATTTACTATTTTATTATTACTAGATTGTAATTTATATTGCTTATTATAATATTCTAATCTACTTGATTATATATTCTATATCTTAAATCTACTCTATACCCTTAGGTTAGATTTAACTATTATAATAGTAATATATAATAAGTTAAGGTAATTAAAATAACTAAGTTATATTAATAGCTAAGTAGCTACTTATTCTAGATATATACTTCTTAAGTAATTATATATTAAGTAAATTATAAAGTTCTATAAATTATATAATCTAAGAATTATAGTAATTTCAGATTGTAATAATCCTAGAAGTTACAATTTACACTTAATTAGATAAAATTTATAGATACTATATTACTACTAATTCTAACTGCTTTAAGACTCTTTAAATTATATATAAGTTATAATATAATATCTTCTCTTTATTAATCTTACTCTTAAAATCTATTTTTAAGACTGTTTCTAAATTTTATTTATTAGTATCTAACTTAAACTTGTAATTATTCCTGTTAATATACTGATATAATAAGCAGTTATATTTCTAAGTTTATTTTAAAAAAGAAAGAAGAATATTACCTTTTATCTAAAAGTATTTATTTATCAGGTAAACTTGCTATTATATTTTATTCTTTTTATTTTAAGTATTTTTATACCTGTTTAATAGTATTAGAATTAGCTAGATATAATAAATATATTAATTATAGCTATTCTTATAATAGTATTAAGATAGCTTCTTTTTATTTATAATTCTCTAGCTTTCTTACTTTTTAGAATACTAACTTATATAGTAAAAATACTTATTTCTTAAAAGAAAAAGCCAGAAGTTAAGGAGGAAAGTACTAGTAAGAATTTAATAAAGCTATAATAAGAAATAGTAATAATACAGACTTATCTTACTATTACTATTAGTTATTTATTATATATTTATATAATAAAAAAGTATATAAAGAAGTATTATAAATTAGAGTTTTATTGGGATATTTAGAGCTTGAATAAAAAGAATAAGTTAATAGAGAAATTAAGTTACTAGAAATAGAAGGTATAGTAGAAGCTGCCTTTTATTTTTAAGAGTAACTTTAACTTTAATTTACTAGATTTTAAATCTTTTAACTTTAATTCTATTAATCTATCTTTAGATTCTTTTTTATTTATAGGTAAAAATCCTTTAGCTTCTATAGATAGCAGTTAAAATCCTAAAACCTATTCTAATATATATTTCCTAGAGTACTTTTTTATTTAAGAAAGTTCTTTAATTTAGCCTAATAATATATAAGGTATTTATAGGATTTCTATATATCTTCTAAGAGGTTGTAGTTTTTTTATTTTATAAGATATTTTATTTTATTATTTTCTCTTTTTATATCGAGGATTATTTTAACTATAAATTCTTAGTTATTCTTAACTTCTATTTCTTAGTTATTATTTTATATTTTAATATAAATAGTATCTGCTGCTAATTTAAGTAATAAAATATAAAAAATTAAATAGAGCTTAACTTTTAGTAGTAAGTTCAGTTTATAGTTATTTTCTAAGACTTTTTTTTAAAATTTTATAAGATTTAATAAATTTAAAGTTTAATTTATTATTTAGCCTTTTTATTATAATATTTTTTATTATAAAATAAACTATATTTTCTTCCTAGAAGATTAGTTTTTTTAATCTTTTCTAGTTATAGTATTTTTTTATTTATTTTCTAATAAATTCCAGTTCTATCTTTATTTCTTTATATAGCTATTATAGCTAGTTAGTATTAAGAATTACTATAGTATTTAAGAATCCTTCTTATAATAATCTATATATATTAGGGGTAAATTTAAAGTTAGTATAAGCTAGTATAAGCTTTATTATTTCTAAAATAGATATATTATAAGCTAGTTATACTATAAGTAGCTTCTAAATCTAATTATCTTACTTATAATTAATATAATATTATAGATACTACTTAATTATTTAGTTAAGTCTTTTTATTTATCTATCTACTTATAGCCTCTAAGCTATTATAAGCTTATAATTTAATTTTATTTAAGCTATTAATTTTTATTAGAATTTAAATATAAAGATTATTTCTCTATTTAATATAATTTCCCTTAGTAATTTATGTAACTATATAATTTATTAATTCTAATAACTTATTTAGATTTTAAGATATATTTCTTTTATAAATATAATTACTAGAGAGTTAAATATAAAAACCTAATAATTATTTATAATTAATTTCAGCTTATAGAGAATATAATTATAAAGTATAGTATCTAATTAGATAATCTTTATAACTTTAATAAAACTAGCTTTTTTATAGTTATAATTATAAATAAAATAGTTATTATAAGTTTAGAAAGATATTTAAAGTTAAAATTAGTATAGTCTGAAAACTAAGAATAAATTACAGTTATTTAAGCAATTAATATAAAAGGCTAGGCAATCTAGCTATTTATTATTAGTGCAGGCTAATATTATCTTACTAACTGGTATTAAAAAAGTAACTTCCTGGATAATTAGGCTATTATAATAACTTAAAATAACTAGATTAATAATAAAATTAATTTAGAGTAGCTAAAATACTTTAACTAATATATAATTAAGTAATTAAATAGTTATTATTATCTTTTAATTCTTAATAATATATATAATAAGTAAGTATTATAGATAAATAAGTATTATAGATAAGTAAGTATTATACTTTTCCCTTAAATATCTAACTTCCTACTTTATTATATAAATCTTAACTACTAAGTATATTACAATTAAATACTAAAATAAGAATTCTTCTTATTCTTTAAGCTTTTTAAAATAACTTAAAATTAAATCTCTAATATACTATAACTACCTATAAGATTAATAAGTATAGGCTGTATTATAAATAGCAAGGTATTTAGTCTCGATATAATATAATCCCCAACTTATAAAAACTATTTAATCTAGAAGAATAAATTATTATTTAGTTTATTTTTAATTTAAATTTATAAGAATTTCCTCTGTAACTATATAGTATTAAAGAAATAGCTAACTAACTACTTACTAACTATAATATATTATCTATTAGTAAGTATTAAGCTTTTAACTTTATTAGGTAATAACTAGACTTTAAGATACGTTTTTTTTATAAATATAACTATTAGAAAGCTAAATATAAAAATCCAACTATTATTTGTAATTAATTTAAGCTTATAGAGAATCTAATTATAAAGTATAATATTAACTTACTATTATCTATAACTTTAATAAGACTGACTTTATAATAAGTCTTATTATAAGCAGAATAGTTATTATAGGCATAAAAAGATATAGAAACTTAAAATTAATACAGCCTGAAAACTGAAAATAGATTATAGTTATTCAGGCAATTAATATAAAAAGCTAGGCAATCCAGCTATTTATTATAATTACAGGCTAATATCACCTTGCTAATTAATATTAAAAAAGTAACCTCCGGCAATTAGGCTATTATAATAACTTAAAATAGCTAGACTAATAATAAGATAAGTCTTAAGTAGCTTAAGTACTTTAATTAGTATATAAAGAATTAATTAATTAGTTACTATTATCTTCTAATTCTTAATAGGTATAAAAGTTACTATTCTATTAACTTTAAGAAATATTATAAAGAGAATTAGATTATTATGCTTTATATACTGTTTTATTTATCTTATTTACTTTAGCCTCTTAATATCAGGTACTTTAGGCCGCTTAAAACAGCCTATAGTCAAGCAATTAAGTAATTAATTAAATACTCTATAACTTATATTTTAAAAACTGAGTTTTTCCCAGCCTTCTATACTGCCTATATAGCCGCTATAATAAGGAGTAATATTAAGGGAGGTTTTCAAGGGGCCGGACTTATTCTCTTAAACTCAGAAAATATCATATCAAAGCTTAATATATAGCTATAGACTCCAATACCAGTTAGGGAGGAGATTAGCCTCTCTAACTCTTAGATCTTAAAAACCCTAAAGACTGTACTTAAGGCTAGCTCTTAGTTTAAATACCTTAAAAAATAAATAAGAAGGTATTAGAATAGCTCTTTAGTATTAATTCTTAAGGCACTTAAGTTACTTTCTAAGGGAATAAAGACAATAATATATTAGAATACTCTATTAAAAGCTAAGGTTTAGATTCTTTAATAGGTAAATAAGATTCTTAGTAAGTAATATAGAGTAAAAAAAACCCGCCTATATAAAGAAGGGAAGATAACTTTAAATAAGGGAAGGAATAAGATAGATTAGAGAGATATTAATATGCAGATAGTAGCTAAATTATTAAGAAGTAGTAGTTAAGGGAGGTTAGCGATATTAAGGGAAAGATATTATAGAATTTATAGAAAGGCTGGTTATAATATAAGAATTTATTAGGTTATTATTAAGATATTTAAAGAAGAATATAGCAATTAATTTTAATTAATTTAATATTTTATTATGTTTTTATTAAAGTTTTAATTTTAAAGATTAGGAAAAGTATAATACTTACTTATCTATAATACTTACTTATTATATATATTAGCTATAAAAGTTACTATTTTATTAAATTTAAGAGATATTATAAGAAAAAGAAGATTATTTAGCTTTATATATTACCTTATTTCTTTTATTTACTCCAGCCTCTTAATATTAGGTACTTTAGTATATTAAAGAAAACTTATAGTTAA